AATGACATGCTCAGAAATAAACCTTACACGATGGGATTCATAGATGAAGGATTTAAGTGAGAACATGTGATGAATATATGTGATGTATACAGAGCCGTAGCTAGCTCCCTTTGCGCCCGAGGCAAGAACAGAAAATTGTGCCCCCTCGACAGTCGTGTGCGGTATGTGACGTCATGTGCCCCGCCTCGAAGATAGCGGCACGCATGCGCAGAATGCGCTGGTGGCCAAATCCAAAATAGCATAAAAACGTGTTTTTCGTTTGACGAAACCTAATGAAAACATTTTTAGTTTCCGTTTATTTCGTCCGAAACAAATGTTTAGTCTTTGCACATGTCTAGTAATATGTGTCTAGAAGTGTGTGTGTAGTGGGGGGGTTTACTGTTGGGGGGCTTCAGGGAAATATCAGGGGTCTAAGCAGATCCCTGACATCTCCCTTTTGAAATAGAAAAGGAGATGGAGAACACAGAGTCCTCTGCCCATACAGGTGAGGGAGAGCAGCGGGCATCCGAGGAGAAGCTGGAGCCTGTGCCGCTCCTCTTCTCCATGCCGAGCCAGTGATGTGTTGGCTCACCTGTTGCCAATGGCACCCTGTGCTCACCATTGCAACAAGGGCGAGGGGGCGCAGCAAGGCCGGCCCTGGGTCTGAGTCGAGTGCCTCACTCGCCCCATGGTAGCTACAGCCCTGGATGTATATAATACGGGACATGTATGAATAGGTACAAACACCTCAAATTATATGTATCTGATGTGAATGTGCAACTATGTCAAAGTGCTGAGTAAATTGTCGGCACAATATAAATGCCTGTAATAAATAAAAATAATAAATATGCATCAATATAACACTGAAAAACACTGAGCTTTTATACATTCATTCAATATACTATATGCATGCATGTATGTAATAATGTACAAATCCCCTACCCCCATACACAACCACAAACATTTAGGGCGACTTCAAATGAACCATGGGTACCCGATATCCCTTTAATTATATTAAAAGGGACACGTTATTATATCACTGAGCTGGTATACACCATACAATGTATGTATGTATGTATGTATGTATGTATGTATGTATGCATGTATGTATGTATATATACATGTACAAAGCATCAGAATTACATAAAATATAGGGGCTACTTCAGATGAACATATTGATACCTGGTACCCCTCTAAATTTATTAAAGAGGCACAAAATGATATCACTGAGCTGTTATACACCATAATATATATATATATATATACACTGTATATAATGGACAGTATATATGAAGAAACTATATAAGGCAGGGGTCTCAAACTCAATTTAGTCGATCGCTTCTCGGCCTTTTGGCTAAGATCAAGTGTAGTATCTGTTCTTATCAGTTTAATATCTGATACGTCCCCTATCTGGGGAGCATATATTAAATGGATTTTTAGAACAGGGAGATGGAAGAAGAGCTTGCTCTGTCCACTCCACGCATCGACCTATTATTGCAGGATCTCCAGGACCGGTGCACCCCTCTCTTATCCAGTTTTCCAAAATCAGATTCAGCAAAAGACAATTCCAGGGATAGTGATTGTTTTTCTAACTGCATGTAATCATATCACATACGATTACATGCGGTATGCAGGCGTGAACATGCAGCGGCTGCCACCTGATCATTAACTTGAATGGGTGACAGTTGCTGCATGTAAACGCCAGATTAGGGATTCCTGCTGCAGGAAAACGCAAGTTTGTGACACGGGAATCCCTAATCACCCCCGAAATATAGGGGAAGGCGCCGGCGTCCGAAGGCCGGTACCCTGATCTAAGGTAAACATTTGGGGATTAGTATATTAGTAGTAGTAGTAGTAGATTATTATTATTAGTATTATTAGTACATCATTATTATTAGGTGCTGTTATACATGCAATGTAAGCATAAAACAAATCTAAAAAAATAAAATGATAATAAAAAAAAGTTAAAAGAAAGCTTGTATGTACAAATCCCCCATATGTACCCACAAAAATGTAGTGGCTACTTCAGATAATCCATAGGTACCGGGTACATCTCTAATAATATGAAATAGGGCATGTTATTATATCACAGAGCATTCACACACCATGTACATAAGTAATATACTGTGTAGTATGTATGTACAAACCATCAGGAGTTTTCACAAACGTTTATCGGCTACTTCAGATGAAGTGACATATTTTCGATTGTAAGCTCTCCTGATCAGGACCTTCCTACCCCTCCTGTATTGGATTGTAACGGTACGGTCTCCTTTTAGGCCCCATTCGCACTGAGCGATTCGCGCGTTTGTCGCGCGATTTGTATTTTGCGCGATATCGCACAAATGGTTGCATTGAGCGACCGAGAATCGCTGCAAAATCCGCTCCAAAAAGGGTCCTGCTGTAGCGATGCACGACCCGCGACAGCAACGGACAGAGCCCCATTGAAATACATTGGAGAGCGATATCGCGCGGATTACCGCGCGATAAATCGCTCAGTGTGAATGGGGCCTTGCTCTGTAAAATGCTGAACAAACTGTTGGCACTGAAAAAAAAAAAAAAAGCCTGAATAATAATAATGATAATAATAATAAATCACTGAGCTGTTATACACCATACAATAGGCTCAGTTCACACAGCTCACACACCAGGATAATGAAACTTGTGACGGTTATTTTCAGTTACGTCCAATGAGATTTGAAGATTTCGGTCACATGGGGAAAAGAAAGACACTTATTCTTGTGTTAAATCTTTGTGAATTGCCCCTAATGGATGTAATGTATATATAGTACAAACCATCCGAAGTGTCCACAAGTATATGAAGTGTGAACCATCAATACCGGGCACTCAGCACTCCAATATAGTAAAGTTGGATCTTTTAGATTGTAAGCTCTCAGGATCAGAGCCCTCCTGACCCTTCTGTATTGAATTGTATCGTCATTTCTCCTTGTACTTTGTGAAGAGCGGTGCAATCTGTTGGTGCAATATAGGTCCTGTGTAATAAAACTAATGTTGTATCGCTGAGCTGCTCTACACCATACAATGGACGGAATGTACTGTATATATTGTAGGTATGTACAAACCATCAGACGTTATCTCAGATGAATCATTAATACCTGGTACCCCTCGAATCATCAAAGGGCCATCTTTTAGAGTGTAAGCTCTAATGATCAGAGCCCTCGTCATCCTTCTGTATTGTACCGTCTCCCTTTATTTTGTTGCTCTGTAGAAACAATATTGGTGCAATATAAATCCGCTATACTACTAATAATATTATATTATGTCACTGAGCTGCTCTGCATCATACAATGAGGGGAATTCATCAAAACTGGGAGCAGACAGATTCTGGATCTGTCACCCATGGCAACCAAACATATTCTCCGCTTCATTTTTAAAAGCTTTACTGAACAAACTGAAGAGAGAAGCTGATCGGTTGCCATGGACAACTGCTCCAGAATCTGTTGTCCTTAGTTTTGTATGCCTTCCATTGTATGCAATGTATATATATTGTAAGAAAAAAACCATCAGACGTATCCGCAGACATTAAGACCCCGTTCACATATAGCGACATACCTTTGCAGCGGCCGGGATATCGCGACTTTCGGGGCGACGATCCAGCGACGGTAGCGCGACCTTCTCCGTCGGGCTCCATAGAAAAAAAGCAAAATCGCGCAAAATCCGCCGAAAAAAGGGTCCGGTAGAAGCGACTTGCGACCGCGACGAGCGACATGGAGTTAAGACAGCTCCATTGAATAGCATTGGCCGGCGACTTCTCGCGATATCGCGCGGGAAAAATGCGCGATATCGCGGAGGAAATCACGCGACAATTCGCTATATGTGAACGGGGCCTTAGGGGATACGTCACATGAACCATGGGGTACACGTTTCTGTCTGCTGCAGTTTTAATCACTCCCCCAATGTATAAAATGTATATATTGTACAAATCATCAGAAACATTGAGGCGTTACCTCAGATGAACCATCAATACTGGGTACCCCACTAAAGGAGCATATTATTAATATATCACTGAGCTGCTATACACCATACAATGTATGTATGTACGTACATACGTACATTTAGGGGTTACCTGGGATGAGACATATATACCGGGTACCCCACTAAAAGTGCATATTATTATATCACTGAGCTGCTATACACCAAAGTATGTATAAATCATCAGCTGTACCCACAAACATTTAGGGGTTACCTCAGATGATCCATTGATATGGGTACCCCACTAAAGAAGCATATTATTATATAACTGAGCTGCTATACACCATACAATGTATGTCTGTATATATTGTATGTAAGTACATTTAGGGGTTACCTCATATGAGCCATATATATGGGGTACCCCACTAAAAGTGCATATTGTTATATCACTGAGCTGCTATACACCAAAGTATGTATGTCTTTACTATGTATGTATAAATCATCAGCTGTACTCACAACATTTAGGGGTTACCTCAGATGACTAATTTATTTTGTGTGCATACACAAAGCATGAGAGGTATCCACAGACATTTGGGGGTTACCTCAGACAATCATGGGCACCCCTCTAAAGGAGCATATTATATCACCGAGTTGTTATGTATGTACTTTATATAACCTCATCATTCAGAATGTATCACGTGATATTCAGACATTTGTTTCTCCCCCTTGTGTGATCAGAAGGCAGCCATATAACACCACAGACATGACACACACGGAGCACTTTCCCCACATTGTACTCTGAGGTGAACGCTCCATGACGATCACGCCCTTGTTCTACAATGTAATAGATATAAAGGAAGGACTCGGAGACCATATTAGATGTATGTGGTGTATTTTATTCGTGATATTACGATAACAGGGTTCGGGGAGGGAGATAAACGTGGCGCCTGTCGTGTTTCTCCTGAGGCGGCTGAGGGAAGTGGGGGTGAGGGGAAGCTGAGAACAATGAGCGGCCGCCATCTTGCAGCAATGACTTTGCACATAGTACAAGGAGCAGCGGAGGGAGGAGTGGAGAGAGAAAAAGGGAGAAGGGGGAGGAAATCGTCTTTCCGCCGCCAGTAGGTGGCGAAAAGGGTCCAGCATCCGGGGGCCTGGGCGTCCCAGGAGCTGCGGGAAGGCGGCAGCAGGGGGAAGAGGAGAGCTGGAGGAGGAGGACGGTGAAGCGCTGCTGCCTCAGCTCTCCGCAACAAAATGGCGGCGGCTCAGAGCAGGCGGGGGCGGCGTGTGCCTGCGGGGACCGGGAGTCACTTTGCGGCAGCGCCAGGCAGCGGGAGCCGGCTCGTTTCAAAGGGCGGACTTCGCTTTACCGGGGGAAGGGCGTTACTTCCGGAAAGAAAGCTGTTCTCCCTCGCAAATTGGCCGTGTTGGGGGTGTGCCGCCATTAGGGGTGACCTGTGCGAAATGCAGACATAACCGCTTGTGGTAAGGATGAAAACGTTTCCATTTGATGACTTCTCAGGTTTTTATGCTGTTTGACCGATTTTAAAGCTCAATTATGTCTTTGTTTTATTACTTTATAGATGTTCTACTGCACTGACAGAAATCCGTGGCCATTTTGTTAAATACACGACGGCTCTGTTCAGCACTGAAGCGGGTTTCGTGTTTTGGATAAGTTTTATTACGGGGTGTGCACCATCGGTCGAGTTTTCAACGTTACACTGAAGAAAAATGGATATGCGCAACAAGATGGCGCCGTCTCCTTCAAGGCAGCAGAAGGAGAGACTAGGGGCCACGTCGCGTGATGCGGGAAGACCGCCCAGTCTGAGCTCGGCTGCCTAGTTACAGCCAATGGCAGACGACGGGACGGCAGAGTTCTGCCTAGTTCCAGCCAATGGCAGAAGAGGTTTTCTTGGGTGACGTGGAAGCCGCGCTGAGTCACTTGTCCTGGAGTCCTAGGAAGGAAAGGGCGCGTCGTCCTCAGCTGCTGCAGTGGTAATACATCATCCGACCGCTAGGGGCGTCTGAACAGCGGGAGGCATGGCGACCAATGGAAACGCGCCCCAGTTGCAGTGGGCGGGGGACGTGATGACGGACGGACCGGAAAGCCAATGGAAGCTCTGTGCCCGCCACGGAGGCTGGCTTTCAGAAACCAATCCGCGTCAGGCGCTGCGTTTATATAAGACCGGCCTCAGCCTCTCGAGGCGCCATTTCGCTGAAGCGGAGAACCGAAGCTGGAGTGGGGGAAAAGCTTGAAGTGGTTTGAGAGCCAAAGGCACCGCTACGCCCTCAGCCGGAGAGCGGGCGTCAACACAATCCGTATCCATCCGCATGGAGACAGCCCTAAACCCAGCGTTTAAAAGGTACAGGAGAACCAGAGGACCCCCTTGTACCTCCCAGAGCTCTATATTGTTACGTAAAACTGCATTTTTGATTCAAATCGCGAGCTCCCCGCAGCAGCCCCCCCTTACTCTGGCCTTGCTTCCATAGAGATGGCGTCCCTTTCCCCCTATCAACAGTAGAGGCAATCCGTATCCATCCGCCTCACCGGTGCCCTCGGTTACCTCGCTCATTGACGCTTTACAATCATACGGTGCAGGTGACCCCATAGCTGCCCGTATCGCTGACCGGAGAGCTGTAGCCGGGGAGTTCTCTGAGGATTGGTTCGCTGCGCCCTCATAGCTCTGCGGCGCCGCCATTTTCTTCCGGCTGCCCAGACATATCTATCCCCGGGGGAGGGGACGCTGCGTATCCTGGCAACAGGGGAACCCTGATAATTACATTGATTTCACCTCCAGCCGGGTCACAACCGACCCCCTTCCACCCGCGTTCCCAGTGTTCTGCCGGCCGAGGACGTTTTATAGCTGTGGTGGGGGAGTTGTTTTTATTCAGGTGACCTTTGACACTCATTGAGATCTGCTCCAGTCATATTCAGCTGGTATGTTTACAGTGGAGTTTGTTTTATTATAAAGCAAATGTGTAACGTGTGTGTGTATATATAGATATGTGAATGCAAAATATATATTTATATATAATTTTTTTTTTATATTGCTTTCTTTGTAAGTAGTTGGATTTTTCTTTTCTGTTATCATGGGTGGCTGACAACGATTTTTGGGTATTTATTTTTTCTACATGTGGAGTTTAGACACTATTTTTGTGATTATGTAACAATTTATAATTCAGTTTATGTAACAGTGTTTTGGTCAGTCCATCAACTTTACCATAGTTGTATGGTCTCTACATTTTGCATATGGACTGTTTTTTTATATAGAAATACACTGGAGGTGCTTTATTTTTATTTCTGTATTTGTTTTTTTAGGTGTTATTCTCCCCCCTCCCCCTGGCATAGAGTAGTTTGCTGAGTAAGGCTTCATTCAGCTGTGTGTATGTATGTGTATTTATATATATTTCTGCAGACTTGTTGACAAATGGGCTAGTTAGCATCGTTGTGTCTAGTTTGCCCTGCGTCAAGCTATGTAACATGGAGGAAACCTTGATATGTACATGGGGCATTGATTCCATCCCACTAACCTCCTGTCAGTAATGACTCCCTAGTTCAGTCGGTTAGTGGGATGGGATCAATGCCCCATGTACAGAGAGATAATTGGTGTGAGTGGTACTGTACCCAACAGGCAGAAATTGCTGCAGGAACCCTGGTTGAGAGGCTCATTGAGCAAGTAGAAGTCAGTCATGTTCATCTGGACTTATTTTAGAACATTGAACTGCCAAGAAACCTCTACAGGCCAGAACCAAATGAGTTGCATAGATAAGGAGAACCAACTACTTCCAGAACAGGTCCAGAGGAATGTGACTGACTATACCATGACCTGGATATAGGAGAGTCTCCAGACCTTTGTAATGGATCTTACAGACAGTAGTAGTCTATAGAAGTACATGAGCTGTACACCCGGACTGAAAGAGAATGAGATTCGTAGTTTGTGGATATTTGTTTCTCTTTGCGGTGATGATTAGATTGTATAATACACCGGCCTCACTTTGTGCAATGTTTAGCTCCCAGAATGGGGTGTACTGCAGTCAAAACATTTGAAAAATATGCTGATCGCCCGCAAAATAACCCATGCAGGAGCGTGCATGCATACACGTGTAGAGGATATACATTTACAACTCTCAAAGTTAAAAGTGCTCATACAATCCTGCGGGCCCAGATTTGTGCAATGTTTATTCTAAGTGTGATAAACCACATACAAGTGTCAATGATATTAAGATCACTTGGGAAGTGCTTTCTTATAGCAGAATTTGGTCCTTTCAGTTCTTCAGGGGTCAGTGGGTAGCATGCCCTTTACCGAGGTGGCCGGGGTAGAATGCCCTTTACCGAGGTGGCCGGGGTAGAATGCCCTTTACCGAAGTGGCCGGGGTAGAATGCCCTTTACCGAGGTGGTCGGGGTAGAATGCCCCTTAGCGAGGTGGTCGGGGTAGAATGCCCCTTAGCGAGGTGGCTGGGGCAGAATGCCCTTTACAATAGTGGGCAGGATGCCATCCTTACACACAGCTGAAGTGGATCATTATTCTGTCAAGTGGCTGGATTGGGAGCTATGCAGGCACCATCAGATGGGAGGTCAATGGGCCACAGCTCCCACAACCTCTGGAGGAACTCTGGGTAAAAATAGATGACTTGTATATAGTTCTAGTAGACCTATACTGGCTTTCTTTACAGCAGTTTGTCTGCTTTCCCCACAATATAAGGAGAGATGTGTTAAATGCTGAATTGCATTGACTTTGTGTTGCTGATTTTCCCCGGGGAGGTCTCTTTGTGATGCTTTATGTCCTGTAGTAAGGTTATGTAATGTGAGTCCAGTCTGTGGTGTAAACATTGTTGTGGTTGGGGGTGGGGTGTGATGAGTTCATTCAGAGCGGATGGCCTTACTTATGTAAATTCCATCACCTGTTGTAGTTGTAGCTTTTGTTTGAGGAGCCATAAATATCCTTCCATATACCCAATGAAGTCTTTGTAAGGTTTTTGGAGCCTGGTGAACCTGCTCATCGTATGAATGTCCCCCCAGATTTTGATGGTGTAGTTTTGGTTCTCTGTAATTTGTGACAGTTCAGGTTTACATTTTGTAACATTACTATAGCTTACCCTTTAATGTGGGTGTCCCCACGTTGCAGATTTTTAGATCTACAACTTATGACTTTCTTCATCTTGGTTTTTGTGCACTAAACACAACCTGATGTAAGTGTTAGGGCCTTGCTGATCATAATTGATCCCTAATTTATTTCAGTTTAAATGTACTGTGAAGACAGTAAGGGCGACATGTATCCTCATACAGCAATTGCTTTTAAACCATTTATACACAGAGGAGGGAAAAGAAGCAGAATGCAGTTTCATGTGTCCCGGAATTCATATGTCTGCAGCTAGGAAAGTGTAAGGGATCACAAGACATGAGGTCATTGGCTTTACATAGAGATGTTTTTGTTTCTATGGGGTGTGTTGAGCCGGGAGAATGAGTCAACACTTCCGGATGTGGAAATCGGATGTGGAAATCGGCTGATCACTGGATGTCAGAGGTCTTACTGCACTCTTTCACTGTGTGACTGGATGCATCACCTCTTACCTGTGCTTCAGTTGTGTTTTTAAGCTAGTTTTGTGATTCATCCATTTAAAAAAAAAATGGTAACATGAAAGAGAAAGTTTTCTGTGGACCTGTTTTTAATGCTTCTTTATACACGTATGTTAGTGGCTCGTATGTTCTGGAGGGCTGAGATCCCCTTGGCTGACCCCAGAGAGGACAGTTTCCCGTGTGTGTAATACATTTTTATATATACACATAGGCTGTGTGAAAAGAAATTATATATTTATTTTCACGCAGCCTATGTAAATATATATAAAAAATGTGTTGTTGTTGTTTGGAGCTTGTTTATACATAATACAAATTTAAAACATAGTCGCCAGCACACAAAAGCAATTTCTCTCAATTCCTTTTTATTAACAAAAGAAAGATATGTCACAATGTGTAGCAAAATTTCGATTCCTTCTTCATGCATGTATAGTGATACAAAATTCCATAGTAACCAAGCATATAGAAAAGGACCTTCCTCCCCCTCTGACATCATCATGATGTCCTATTCCCGCCATTTTATATGAAAACAATCTTGCTCTTTGCTATTGTTTTCATATAAAATGGCGGGAATAGGACATCATGATTTAAGAGGGGGAGGAAGGTCCTTTTCTGATTGGTTGCACATTTACTCTTGTATGTGTGTTTGTTAACATAATTGTATGTGTTCAAAATGTTGTTACACATTGTGACATACCAGTCTTTTGTCAATTAAGAAGAATTGACAGAATTCACTTTGGTATGCTGGCGATTATTTTTTGTACTTGATTTCCAGTGGCACCCACAGTCATTACAGCACCCACTGAATGTTTTTGGGTTGTATCCGGTCATGGGATTCTATTAAGCTTGTTTTATATGGGACACTACAGGTGGCTTAGGTTGTTTAGAATAGATGGCAGTAGGGGACAGACTTAAGGGACCATTAAGTGTTTTCTCATACAATGCGGGGCCCAAGGCTTGAGATGTTAAACCTTTCAGACAGTGTGCACACCTAGTTTACAATAGAGATCTGTCGGCACAGTACAGACAGGGTTGCTTATTGCAAACATCTCGTCAGCCCCCTCCCTAATATTACATAGAAGGGGAAAGACCTAACATTTTTCTCTGCAATTAAAATGGAAGCTGAAATATTTCAATGGGGAGAAGTGGAAATAGTTATAACACCTTAGTGTCTGTACAGTTGCCAGTGATTTAAATGAGCTGCAGTTGTATTAGCAGAGAACAAAAGCCCCATCATGGAAAACTGTGTTGAGGTGCACATCTAATCTACATAATGACCTCAAAGATGAAGCTAAATTCACGTTTTCTAATGTTGTATTTGGCCTTCATGGGCTCAGTCTTGGCCAGTCTGTATGGCTGCAATCATGTAACATGTATCTGTAAGATTGGGCAGCAGGCTATACTAGACATAGGGGAGGGATTTCTCAAAACTGGACAGCAACCAATCAGCTTCTCTTTCATTCTCAAATTGGAGAGATGCTGATTGGTTGCCTGGAAAATTACTCCAGATTTTGTCTGCTCCAGTCTTGATAAATTCCCCTAATGTTTTTTGTTGCCGTGGTGGGGCGTTATTTCCTTTTTATACTTGGTAGAATATTTGTCAAACTTGCAATCCGTATTGACTGACGCATTTCTTGTTTGCAGGCCTCCTCTGGATGTAAATCATGGTATAATGGGGCAGACTGTCGAGGGAACCCCAGGAAAGCGCATTCGAAAACCCTCTTTGCTGTATGAAGACTTTGAGGGCCCCACAATGAATTCCAGTGTCTTTAATCGCGCTCCTCAAGTCAACCCACCCCCTCCGGAGGTCAGCAATTCCAAAAAGCCCGGCCGATCCACGAATCAGCTGCAGTACTTGCTCAGGGCCGTCATGAAGTCTCTGTTGAAGCATCAGTTCTCTTGGCCTTTCCGTCAGCCTGTTGATGCCATTAAGCTGGGTCTTCCGGTACGTTCCTGGGTTGTTTTGTGGGACTTGAGTGATAATGTTACAATGCACTATGGGGGTAAACAATACAACAAGACCAAATGTTTTGTCCTATCAGACCAGTTCCTTGTTTCCGGACAAATGCATTTTTCTGCATATTGTCGCTATGCTCTCCACAGCACACACAGTGAAACGTTTTCCTATCAAAACAGCTTGCCTATGAAACCTGATGACAGCTCTGGGTTTGTGACTGAAGCAGTTGGTGCTGTGGGGGTTCAGGGCACATAGTTTGACAAATGTCTGAGGACATGTACGCGTACTGATAATTTAGGCTATGTTGGGGTACAGGTTCTTCGCCAGTGCAGGATACGATGGGGCTAGAGTTTTTATTAGTTCTCTGGTTTCTGTGTGGTGAAGAACAGATCAACATTCATATAGCTTAACCTTTTCTACCTTGCATCCATCACTGCCCCCTCCTCCCCACTCATCCCTACAAATGTATGGATGTCTTCATGCACGCTGCGTAGTTAAAGCTTCTTTATAATGTAGCTGCCACCCTATATTTTATGAACTGGTTGATTTTACTTTGTGAAATGCAAATTTCCAATTAATACATTTTGCAGATCTGCACATCCATGAATTTGTACAGGACCCCAAGTGTGACAAAGTTTTTAACGCTACACACACTGAGATGTCTTGGATTAGAAGTATGAAGGTACATTAAAAATGGTAGGTGTGCTATTCTTTAGCTTTTAGACTTCAGTCGTAATATGCCCTGCACCTCCTCACCATCTTGCATTGCTCCCATTATTTAGAATACCTGTCTACCCTCTAAATCATGCCTGTAGCTCTGAGCTTCTGGCGTGATTACCTTAAGCACCTCACTGCACCACAGGGCAGGACCTGGGGCTACGGTCTCATTGTATTTATGGACTCATATTGACGTGGCCAGACGCTGTTTTAGTACTGCTGCTTTAACATGGCAGTTGCAGGGGTACATGCATTTTTTTAAGTGGAATCTCTGTCCTGCAAAGTCTATTTTGTAACACTTCCTGTGTTTTAGTATCAAACTACTTGTTTGGAGTGGACAGTTGCATAACATTTGAACTGTTAATGTCCCAGAGCTGTCATCGGGTCCTATGTACACAGAAGATGATGACCACTCATGTTACAGGGTCTGTTGTACAGTGTGCTGGAGATGCAGCCAATATTGGGATCTAAGTGAGGGGGTTATTTATAAAGAATGAATGTCATGTTCTAAGTCTCAACATACAGGGGCTTGTATATGTAAGCTGGATTTAAAGACTTCTACTTGGTTCATTGCCCCGGCTTTCATATATCAGCCCTATGTTTTAAGAGTATATAGTAAAGAAATGTATTTTTATTATGTTGCTAATTGAGATTTGGGGTGTTTTTTAAACTGGAGACTTACCAGCATGCTTTGTCTGTGGGCTAATTGATATGTTTGCAGGATTATCATAAAATCATCAAGCAGCCAATGGACATGGGAACTATTAAGAAGAGATTGGAGAACAACTACTACTGGACTGCACTGGAGTGTATGCAGGACTTCAACACAATGTTTACTAACTGCTACATCTACAACAAGGTGAGAACGGCTTCCATTACAATGAATTACATTTGAACAGTGTTCTTAATTGTGAAGGCCAGTGTTCTTAATTGTTGCTCTTTACATTCATAAAGCCCACAGATGACATTGTGCTAATGGCTCAAAGCCTGGAGAAGTCATTTTTGCAGAAGGTAGCACAGATGCCTCAGGACGAGCAAGAAATACCCAACACTTCAAACAAGTGCAAGCCAGTGAAGAGTGTCAAACCTCCAGGTAAAATAAATAGAACTGCCCTCGTGTGCTTTGATATTACACAGTGTTTGAGTTTTATGGAAGAATAAGTTACAGACGTCTTACAGTCTCGGTCTCTTTTCTGTATAGCTGTCACAGGTGGAATCACAACGGCACACCAAGTCCCAGCCATCTCATCCATGTCTCAGTCTTCAATGTACCCCAGCTCCCCGGAGGTCCCCACTACCATTGTTAATATACCACATCCCACTGTCCTCTCTAGTTCGATGATGAAACCAATGCCCACTACTCAGGCTCTGATGCCTGTGGTTCCAGCAGCCACACAACCAATAGCAAAGGTAAGTTATACTTTTGTGATATTGCCTCTTTATTTTTTTTCTTGTGTATTTGTATGTATTACTCTCTAACTATTGTGTTGTAAAATCTGTAGAACCAGCACACGATCTTCCAAAGAAAGTCAAACTTTATTCCACATGCATCTATACAAACAACAACCGCTGACGTGTTTCTGCCTTAGTCATAGCTATGACTAAATGTGGCCATACACCTGCCGATTATCGTACATCAATTGCGAGGGATCCCACGATCGTACGATAATCGGCAGTTGTATGCACCGCGTGTGACCTTCTACTGTACGGTCGCACGACTTTCGTCATCCGAGCACGCTGGAAAACCGTGTTGGTGGCGTGCTCGGAAGACGAATGCCGCACGGGCCGGTGTGCGCAAGCACACACTGCCCGCTCAACACTGCAATCATTGGAAGCACAATCTGCCTGACCAAGATGGGCCGATCGTACGGAATTTTAATGACCTTACAACCACCGCACAGCCAAAGTCGTGCGATGGTTGTAAGCTGCATGGCAGCTTTAGGCAGAAGTGTGTCAGCGGAGGTTCTTTGTATGGATGCATGTGGAATAAAGTTTGAATTTCTTTGGAAGATTGTGTGCTGGTTCTACAGATTTTGAGCACATCACTCCAGAGGAATCATCCGTGCACAGTTTGTATTGCAAGGCGTTAGGGGTGAGCTGTGTGCTTTGTTTTTTCAGTCTAACTATTATGTTGTCTACTATCAATCCTGCTTATAGCAGAGCTGGGTATGGCCAGCTTTGGAGTACATCATGACATTTTAAGTTCTTGAGGGATAAGTGAATTGTAATGTGCAGGTACAGACAAACACTGGAGGCTGCAGCCGTCGGATCAAACCGAGTATGTATCTGTAAAGGGGGGGGGGGGATTAGGGTTAGGTCAGGGGAAAGGCACATAATTGATAGAACTTGAAAGCACAATTTTGAATATAGGTTTTAAACATTTTAATATTTGTTTCCCCTTTATAGCAGAAGAAAGGTGTGAAGAGAAAAGCGGACACTACAACCCCAACCACCACCGCTATAATTGCCACCAGTGGAGACTCCTCCCCTCTAACGCCGCCTGATACAAAACCCGCTAAGATCCCCGCCCGGCGAGAAAGTGGTCGGCCCATTAAGCCACCTCGGAAAGACTTGCCGGACTCGCAACAGCATCAGACTTCCAAGAAGGGCAAGCTGTCCGAGCAACTTAAATACTGCAATGGCATTCTGAAAGAACTTCTTTCTAAGAAACATGGAGCCTATGCATGGCCGTTCTACAAACCCGTGGATGCCAGTTCTCTGGGACTACACGACTACCACGAAATCATAAAACATCCCATGGACCTTAGCACCATTAAGGTGGGGACAAGATGCAGAGAGCAAGCATATATTTTCTATCGATTTTATATACAAAGTCCAATTCTAAATAGATTAACTTGCTGGAGCCAAATGACTTGAATTATCCAATTAGTTAACATTTGAAACTTGCATAAACCTTCATATTATGGATGTGCTTAATGCTTGTGGCTAATGACAGGAGATGAGACCTATTAACCATTTTGGAAGGTGACTTGTTGTTCTTGAAAGTTAGTAGCCTTGTCAGTGTGACCTAGTCTGAGCAGGTGGCATTGTTCTGTATGTCCTAGCGATACTTATTGGCCTCTCTTCTTATACAGAAAAAGATGGAGAACAGAGAATACCGAGACGCACAAGAGTTTGCTGCTGATGTCAGACTCATGTTCTCAAACTGTTACAAATATAACCCCCCAGACCATGATGTGGTGGCCATGGCAAGGAAGCTGCAGGTATGGTTTTGTTTTGTAGAGCTTATTGTCTGGTGGTTAATATTCTATGTGTGGTCATCAGCTAATCCCATATGGTTTGTTTCTTAGGATGTGTTTGAATTTCGTTATGCTAAGATGCCTGATGAGCCTATTGTAGTGACTCCACCACCCTCCTCCACACAACAGCCTCCCTCCGATTCCAAATCCTCCTCGGATTCCTCCAGTGAGAGCAGCAGTGACAGCTCAGATGACAGCGAGAGTTCTGATGACTCGGAGGAGGAGAGGGCCAACAGACTGGCAGAGCTTCAGGAGCAGGTACGAGTACATGACTTTAGCATCGTAGTTAGTCATTTCATTGGGATGGGTGGGGGGGTTAAGCAGTTGCTTTGTGCCATGTTTAATCAAAGTGCAGTAACTTAGGAGATGGACGTGAATTCCTCTTTTGTTAATTGGTTATGATTTGGCTCCTGAAAGGTAAACTTTGCTTTGAGGATTGATTGGCTGCTGGCCTGTCATTGCTTGAGCTGATGATATAAACTCTGACCAGGCTGCTAATTGTATATAATGGCATTACTTGTATTCTTCATAACTACACCTCTATTATTTGACACCGGACTGCACCTGTAGGTCAATGGGGGGGAGGGGGGGTCTTTCAGCTCTAGTGTTGTCCTCAAAATTAAGCTAAACTATAGGCAGATATAAAAGACAGAAAAGCTGCTCTGTAGTCAATACACCATTTAGTGATTTATTTACATTCATTTTTCAACACAAGTAGTATAAGTACTTGCATTTGTTTCCCTGATATTAGCTTCTTGCAATCCCTGTACAGCAGAGCTGAAGTGAGAGGAAGAAGTAGTACAAGGAAGCCAACAAGGAAGCATGCTGGTAGCAGGAGAAAGCAAGTGACAGCAATGAGCATATCACTGTGCTCCCTTTTTTTTTTTTCCTTTTTTTTTTTTTTTTTTCCGAACCAGAAACAGGTTGGGGGGGGCCCCGCGATAATAACAGGTTGGGGGCGGCTCCAGGATAACCAGTAACAGGTTGGGGGCGGCTCCAGGATAACCAGTAACAGGTTGGGGGCGGCTCCAGGATAACCAGTAACAGGTTGGGGGCGGCTCCAGGATAACCAGTAACAGGTTGGGGGCGGCTCCAGGATAACCAGTAACAGGTTGGGGGCGGCTCCAGGATAACCAGTAACAGGTTGGGGGCGGCTCCAGGAAAACCTGGGCTCAGAAGTGGTGGGTTAAATCGTGCTGGTCATCAGAACTAGCGGCAGAAAAATAAGTAATGCAGGGAACATATCTGGATTGATTTTGCTTGATCTTCAAATAAGCTATTCATTTTTTTATTTTTGGCTGCACTTCCACTTTAAGATGTAGCATTCATAGAGCTAGTATTTAAAGGGAACCTTTACCTTCTTTTACTAAAAAACACATACGCATGCACCTCTGCGTGCCGATTTAAAATCATCTTGCATTCTTTAGTTAAACTTGTTTTTCATTTACTTACAAATAGCGTTCATCTACTTCCTGGTCCACTAGGGCACAAATGATGTAAAGTTCCAAAGCATTACATCCTGGGAAGGTTACATCAGCAGAACATTGCTGGGGAATATCTCATCTGTAATCTCACAAGATCTCAGGGAAAGGCATTTTCCTCCCCTGGGATGATCTGCATAGTCACATGTCCTAGTCACATGTGCCAGAGTTCCAGGAAGTAAAGGGAAATCTATAATTTTAAAGATATGGGTAAAGTTCCTCTTTAAATGTAGCCTTAGCCCATTTATAACTTTCTTTGATTGAAGTTCTGATCAGGGAACCTTTTAGATGGGTTTGTTGTCTTTGTGGGCTGTGCAATGTAGTTGGCCCTCTGCAGTCTCGGTGGTTTTTAATTTCAAATTGTATTTTTGTCTTCACAGCTTCGTGCTGTACATGAGCAGCTGGCTGCTCTCTCCCAAGGCCCGATTTCCAAACCTAAAAAGAAGAAAGAGAAAAAAGAAAAGAAGAAAAAGAAGAAATCTGACAAACGAAAGGTCAGAGATGATGATGAATGGAGGTGTAGCAAAGCAAAATCTTTCCAGACCAAAAAGTCCTCTAAAAAATCTGGAGGGACCATGACCACCATTTCTACGCCTGTGTTTTCAAAGTAAGTTTTTAGATGCTTTTATTTCTTTTTTCCTGTTGCTACTTTGTTAAAGGTGTCAGATTTTCTGTAGGTTCTTTTGTGCTTATGAGCCTTTTGTGCTGTAATTCTCTAGGAGTTCTAAGAAATCCTTCAAGTCCCTTCCCCCACCTCCACCGGTCATGTACGACTCTGAGGAAGAAGAGGAGACCAAGCCAATGACGTATGATGAGAAACGGCAGCTGAGCTTAGACATTAACAAACTTCCTGGAGAGAAGCTGGGCCGTGTGGTACATATCATCCAATCCAGAGAGCCCTCCCTGCGGGATTCCAACCCTGAGGAAATAGAGATCGACTTTGAGACTTTGAAACCTTCCACGCTTCGTGAGCTGGAGAGATACGTGATGTCTTGCTTGAGAAAGAAGCCAAGGAAGCCATACAGTAAGTGTTCATATTATACCCTGACATGACTCCTGCACTTCCCAATGCGGAAATCCAGAAACCTCCATTAGTACAGTTATACTTTATTTTCCTTAATTGCAACTTTTAAGTATGTGACTAATCGTTATGCCCCAATGTATAACACGGGGAAATTTATCAAAACTGGAGCAGACCGAATCTGGAGCAGTTGCCCATGGCAACCAATCAGCTTCTCTCTTCAGTTCATTTGAGATTTGAAAATGAAAGAGAGAACCTGATTGGTTACTATGGGCAACTGCTCCAGATTCTGTTCCAGTTTTGATAAATTCCCCTCAGTGTCTGGATGGCAAAACTTACTGTAGGGAATGAAAAGTGCTTTGCATCCAGCTTTTTACTTGTTTAACCCCTTCATGACTGAGGCCTTTTTTTCATTTTTTGTACCCAATAATTTTGTATTCTGTAGTTGGTACTCTGTGTGTATTTATATATTTTCAGGGCTCTAGGTACAAAATGCAGACTTTTGGGAGATCTTTAGATATAACCACTTGTCAGGGTGGCAGTGAGGTTATTTGAACTATGTACTATTCTTTATTATGCAGTTAGTCCTATGGTGCGTTTTTACATACATGTCACTTTAGATACTTTGTATCTCATTTGCTGCTGTATTTTAGAACTTGGAGCACACACTAGACCAAAACAATTGTAGTTTTAAGCTGTCCATACATTATGCCAATTTCAGCAGGTTCTTGATGATCTGCTGCTGTTGGCACCCTTTCGGCCAGTGTCCCTCCATCAGCCGATCAAAGGAGCCGGCTGAAAAATCTTCAAATGAACGGAGTCGGTACCCTATGAGTTGCCGACTCTGTTCCGGTATTCTGAGAGCGACCAGCGGCAGCAGTCAGAATACAGTGAAGACGGCAGGAGATTCTTCGATCAACGCTTGTATGCATTGATGGGGGAATCCTGTTTTTATTTTGTTCAGTCTGCAGGTTGAACAAAGAAAATATTACTATGTTCAGGCAGCTTTATTCATATAACTTGAATCTTGAAAGCTTTAGAATTTGTGAGTTGCTTAAATTGCAAGAACCCCATTTATAGCTTTACATAATCAGGTGTATGTATAGGGAACCTTCTTCCCGGTCCTAAATCCGTGTCCTTGTTTTATCCTCAGCTTCCCCTAACTCTGTGCTCTCTGCATCACTGAAGAAACCAATGGGAAAGACAAAAGAGGAGATTGCTATGGAGAAGAAGAGGGAGCTGGAGAAGAGGCTACAAGATGTCAGCGGGCAACTGAACTCTGCCAAGAAACCACCCAAGAAAGGTAAATGTCTCTGGTGTGAAAAAAGTGTAATTTAACATAAGAGCGCGGAGCATGGGATGGAGCATGGGGTGTGCTAATGCCTCAAATGCATGGAGATTACCTGGGCTGTAACTTGGATATTGGAAGTTAATCGGCTCCGCTCAGTCCTCCTAGATACTATTAAATATTGCAACTACCTGTGCCTTGGATAGCAGCCAAAGTCCATCGAGCTCCGTCTGTTTAAATATTGACGTGAAAGAAGGTGCACAAAATGGATGTCAGACGGGAGGCAGTTCTTCTTTTCCCAGTCAATTGCACTCATTTCAATTGCACTCATTAAGGGCATTTGAGATCATTTTTACAGGTACTGTCGTGTATAAGAACTGTTCTGCAGGACTGTCCAAGAAGCTTCACTAACGGAGATTGATTTCCTTTGTACAGTAGCCCTAGTTCCTTGGATCACTCGCACACCATACATTAGGAAAATAATACAAATATGCTGTAAATTATTTCTAAATTATAAAATATATTCAGGGAATTTATCAAAACTGGAGCAGCTGTGCATGTCAACCAATCGGCTTTCTTTCATTATCAAACCTTCACTGAATAAACAAAGACGCTGATTGTTTGCCATGCACAGCTGCTCCCCCCCATTGTGTTTTATTTGTACTTTTCCCCCTTGCATTAATAATAAACTCTACTCTTCTTTTGCAGTCAACGAGAAAGTGGAATCAGCGCAGCCGGTCTCTGCCTCTCGTCTCAGTGCTTCCAGCTCCAGTTCGGACTCTGACACTAGCAGCAGCTCCACATCCAGCTCCTCAGACACTAGTGACTCTGACTCTGGTTGAGGGAAAGGGTATATGGCACAGAAGGACATTACCTTCCGCTGTAGCAGGGTAGGAAGGCTGGACTTTATGCTTCATCAGTGGTTCTAAAAGGATCTGCAGGAACAGAACCCTCCTGAACCAGACTTGATGCCCTTTCAGGGTAGGAAAAAAGCAAACTTGAGGCCTTTGGTATGCAGAGAACACCTTGCCTTTCCTTCAGCTAGTTGTACTTGTAAACTAAGCTGAGGGATCTCCTGGAGCATGAGGCATCGCCCCTTCACCACCTGAACACTGACTCCTGTGGGGATCCATGTACAAGGCATTCTAATGGGTGGGCGGCACAAATGCAGTGTCCTTATTTTATTCTGTTTACAAGTTCTCTTTGGAACGCACAGACGCCTGGAAGCTGGAATCTGCTTTTGGTTTATCTTGGCGGAAGATTTGTTGGAAGTTGGTCTCTTAGTTGTTACTTAGTGCAGTGTTAATTGTTGACTCTTCAGGTTTTCTCCTTCACTGTTTGTTTTCTGATGCGTGCGGCACACGATGACGAGGCGCGCTGTGTAATGTCTCCATCTACAGCGTCTTGCTTGTCTGTGCGTCGTTTAGGGAATGTTTAGCACAGTAAGGAGGACTGTTCGAGGGTCCGGAAAACATCGGCCTTCTGCACGTCATGGAGATTTTAAGGCACCTGGAAGAGTTTTTCAACCTGACAAGTAAATCGGGGGACAGAAGGTCACTCGCCCACTTAAGTCCTCTACTGCATGCAGTGTGTAAGGTGGCGGCTAGTTCTGTCTCACTGAACACCATCCAAGCTACAGAACTCGTTCATAGCCTTTCATGTGTTTTTTGTTTTCTTTTTGTATTTATTTTAAAGAAGGAAAAGGTTTTTTTTCTTTGTTTTATAATGTAAAATAACAGAGGGTGCCCTGTTGATACAGGGGCCGGTGTAGATGTAAGATTTTATAAGCCCTGTACATAAATATATATATTCCGAGTTGCACAAGCAGCATGTTTCTCAATGTAAAGGGTGACTTTATTTTTTACCTGGAAAAAAGCATTTTTATTTTCTTCCTAATATTGTTCCGTTGCTACAAATCTATATATATATACTCTGTCCTATTCCTTTTGTCTCTTGTATCAGTTCAAGCCCTTTAGTTTGGAAACATGTAAATAAAGAAAATTTACATCCATCATGAGTGGTTTTCTTTACTCCCTAAACCTATGAATCTGTTTTTTTGTTTTTTTTTTTGTCACAATTAAGTATTGAGAAAACAAAATACAAACACAGTACATGGAAGTCAGGCTGTGTGGGAATGGGGGACTTTGGGCTATGCGGGAATAGTACATGTGCAAAGGACTTCATGTGCCCGAATTTTACTTTTGGCTGGACAAGCAAGGAATCGGAACCAGTCCACTCACCTAATCGTAAGGGCATATTCCAAGTCCAGTTTTGATAAACCACCCAGGAGCGGGGTGAGAAGAAAAGACCAGAACAGGTACATGAGCCCAGTGATGAGAGTATTTGAAAGCAAAGGAAAGACCAGGGGACAAGGGAATGTAGGTCAAGAGAAGCCGGCTTCCCGGGCTGCGGGTAATGACCCGTCTCCTGATTTGGCTGGAAAGCCGGCTTCCAATCACCATTGAGCTGGCCAAACAGCATGTAAGCGGTCAATCAGGAAGCCGGGCAGCGGGTAATGACCTGACTTCCTGTTTGGCCAGGAAACCAGTTCGATACTGATTGGGCGGGAAACTGGCATCCCAGCCAATCGGCATCGAGCCCGGGCAATCAAAATGCCGGCCAGCGAGTAATGATTCCCAGGGAAGCCGGCTCCATGCTACCAGATGTATCGGTACTCTGTCGGCAAGTACACGATACTGAAAAACCAATATCTGTGCATCCCTAGTTTCTACCTCAAGGCACAGTGAGCCCATCCAGAAGTTTGAGTTTTATTCTTGAGGTCCTTTGTCTCATCTAAGACTTTGTGAAGTGGACTTGTCAAGGCAAATCAGACAAAACTTTATTATTAGAGCCTGACCGATGTCATTTGATT